AATATGACTATATATATATATATATATATATATATATATATATATGTATATATTGTAGCACTCTTATAACGAGTAAGGTCAAAAGGCACGTCTCACATCCCATGCATTATATTAGAGAAAAGAGAAGGACGATTATAAATATAATTATAAAATACAGAAACATTAAAAAATCTTAAGTAAACATATTGTTCCATTTTTTCTACCCCAGGTTCGAGACGTGTTATAGAGCATTTCAATTTAACTAATCGATCTGCCAAATTCTTATGTTGGCATATAAGTTTCTAAGAATAATTTAGGATATAGTTAAAAAATTTTGAATGAGTGTGTAAAGAGTAAGAGAATGAATGAATAAAAAATGAATTGACAAATCATTGAAAATCGTTTGTTGTATGTATTAATTCTGCTGGAATAAATTAATAATTAGAAACAAGATTTATACTCAATGTTTTTGATAGGTTTTAAATTTCGCAAACATTTACAATTTATAATAAAAAATTTTATTGATTAATAATAAAAAATATAGAATAGAATATAAATACAATGAAATAATTACAAGTATTGTAAATTTGAAATTGTGATTATTTTATCATAATGCGCTGTAAATTAATATTATTTCATGTATAAATAACAATATAATAATATAGTAAATAAGATGATGGAAAAAAAATATAACATTTTTAACGTAAATAATACGGCAGCAACGATAATAGAAAGATACAAAATTTAACCAGAGGTATCTTTATTTTGTCTCTGTTGAATCATTTCTCTTATGTTGTTTTCACATTCTTTTAAATTTTGTTGTAAGTACGTTTTATTATTTTCTAAATTTTTCACTTTTTCATCAGCATTTTTCATCCGTTTCTCGAGACCAATTTTTATACTATCCATGTTGTCTAAAAGAAACATTCTGCCAACTGATTCGTATGCTTTAGTGTTCTCTGGATATGAGGTTATTTCCTTCATTGTTAATTCAGCAAATTGTTTTGATCGTTTTAATTTTTCAATTTGTAAATCTGCTAACTTCAATTTTTGTGTGGTATCAATCATTTTCTCGTGTAATTGCGAGAATGCTTTTCTTAGCTCTTCATCCGGTTCTCTTGCCATTTTTCTACAATAATTTTATAGGTTAAAAAACTGAATTTTTTATTTTATACAATTATTTAAAATTTTAATTGATCAAATACAATAAAAATTCAATTGAATATAATTAATCTATATTTTTATTATAATGAAACAATTAACACAAGATATCAAACAATTAACGCAAAATATCTCATTTTAGTTGTTAATTAATATTAATAATATTAATAAAGAAAAAAAATATACAATGATTATCTATTTATATGATTCTTAATTATTTTCTTATAAAAATAATATATAGAAAAAAATTTTTTTATTTTGTATATAAGTTAATAAATTACCTTTTATTCAGTTTTTTAATAAGAAAAATAAAGTTATTTATTACTTAATGAAATATATAAATATATATGAAATATATATATGTATTACTACTGAATTTATTTCGGATTTATTATAATCTATATTATATTTCAATGAAGAAATTAGAAAATAAATTTCATAGAATATCTTGAATTATATAGTATTCCAATGCCAGCACAGACTATGTATAAAATAGACTTGCATGCAATATATTTTTGTTATATGAGATAGCAATGATTTATCGATATTTTGAAAATATCGATGTTTTTTGTCGATACATTAATGTTTTTTTTTTATGGATTTTTCATTTAAATTTAATTCTTCTTTAATTAATTATTGCAAATATATATTGATTTCATAAAAATTATGTTTTAAATAATATTTTTTGTTGTGTAATAGGCAACTGATTTTTATTTTCGAAATTCTCACAAAAAAGTTTTGATATTATTATTAAGTACTATTAAATACTAAATTCTATCTAATATAATCTTAAAATATAAAAATATATAAAACTTTTATGATATATAGAAGAACTAATTATATATAAAATATATATACTCCTGACATATAAAAATATAAATATATAAATAAATATATATAATTATATAAATATATAATTATATAAGAACATTGAATTGAATATTTATTTTATTATTATAATTTATTTTATTATTCAAGACTATATAGACTATAAAGATTTCCAATCAATAGATTAAGCAAAGAAGATAATAAAATTAATCAGATAAAACTGAGTCTATAAATTTAAAAAAAGCATATACAAATAAAAAAACAAATAATAAAAGAAAAACAAAATAGAATAAAAGGAATTAATGTCATTTCTTTGTCAGACATCTCTTTAAATTTCTTAAAAATATAAACTAAATATAATAAATATATCTTATAATATAATATCTATGATTCTATATAATGTGATATTTAATTTGTATATTAGTTTGTTGTGATAAACAGAAGTAAAATATAATTTGATTCTCACTGTTATTTTTTGAGTGCTTTTAGAAAAATATTTTTAATATTTTAACGATGACATTGATAGTCAATTCTTATTCTATTTCTATTCTTTTCTTATTATTTGTTACAGTTTGTTCCATTTACAACACTTCAAAATTGATTATCTTATCTCTGTATTTCGCTTATAATTTTTACTTTCCCATATTTTTTCTTAACATTACGTGTTTACAAACAAGATATGGAATATTCAACATTTTTATCATTTTTCTAAAACTACTAGTATATTTTAATTTTTAATATAAAAAATATAATATATTTTATGAATGATAACTTAGTAAAAAATTTTTTATTAATTATTAATTTATCCTAATATATAATGTATATTTTAACACAAGATACAGAGATAAAATTTAAAAAAAAAAAAAACGAAAACTTAATCTAGCAATGAAGGAGGAAACAGGAAGAAATTTTGATTTTATTTAAAAATTATCGAATATTCATTTATCAAATTTTCGCTATTTATAATTTTGTAAAATATTTTTAAAGTATATCCAAGTTAACTATCCAAACATTAAGTTATTATTATTGAATTACCAACATTGTAATCTCATTTTAAACTGAATTGGTAACATTAAAAATGACATTAAAATGATAAATAAGTCTTAGTATTCTTAAAATATGAAATAAAAAAATGAATTTTAATTATTTTATATTTAGTTAAGATTGAATATAATGACTAGATTTATCGTTCTAAATTATATAATGTATCAAATCTTCTAATTTCTTGCACACTTGCTAATTCAAAATATGAAATATAAAATTTAATTTTTTAATTTAAAATTTGAATTTAACTGCTCACTAGAAAAAGTCTTCAAAGAATTATTTTACATACAAATTTATAAATTAAGTTATTATTATAAAAAATATATTGAAAATAAAATTAAACTGCGTAAGCATTTTTATAATTTTAAATAATTTTTAAGTAATTAATACAAGAAAAAGAAAAGCATTTTATACAAAAAATAGAAAAATAAGGAAAAAATAGATATTCCTTGTTTTACAAACAAAAAAAGTTTGTGTTTTAAGGAGTTTTTTTACTATAAAAGAAAAATATAAAATAAACAGGTGAAGAAATACTAAATTTATAACAGCGAAATTAGGTAAGTAAAAACAGGCTGTTTCACAACGTATGGTAACGCGTTTGCAGAGATACCTTTTCATAAAGGTTCTCCAATGTAAGGTTAAAAAACCTTATACAACAATAATGCCCAAGAGATCACTTCAAAGTCCACCTGAAAAAAAATTAAAATCAAATCAATGCTCAATTAATTCGACAAAAAACGTGGATCGCTTCACAGAACATAACCTTAAAACAGATACAACGATCATTGAAGACATGCAAACAGAAAATGGGACACAAGAATCTTCTGTATGCGTTTCAAAAGAATCACGGACAAAAGTTACATATTTAGAAACACCTGTGAAATCGGAGAATGATAAGAAGGAGTATAGGTAAAGAATGATGAAAAAAAATATATTGGATGAATAGAATATATATTGGATTTGTTTTTATATTTTTTTGAATTTTAATAAATTATCTTTTTTTTCATATAGAGTAATTAAATTAGAAAATGGCTTGACTGCTTTGCTAATTGCTGATTTACATTCCTTTCATTCAGATGATCAAAATGATAGAAAAGGTAAAAGAAAAAAATTTAAACATTTCCATTTATATACTAATTAAATAACTCTTCTGTAATTTTATTATATCTTTTTATTTATTTAATAGATTCAGTAAGTACAAATGAAGAAGAAAATGAAGAAACTAACAGTGAAGAGGATGAAGAGGAAAGTGAATCAGAAAGCGATAATCAATCAGATTGTGATAAAGATGTAGAAGATTCTTGTGCTTTTTCCAAACGATTAAAAAGAGAAGAGAAAATGGTATTTTTTATTAAAATATATAATTTAATATTTAATTTATGTAATATATATAAAATGTTAATATTCTCAGTGTGCTGCTACGCATATTTCTTACACAGGCAGCATGTGGATTATCAGTAGGTGTGGGAAGTTTCAGTGATCCACCAGAAATTCCAGGTTTAGCACATTTTTTGGAACATATGGTTTTCATGGGATCAGAAAAATATTCTGAGGTAGTCATTTTAAATAAAAAATTTTTAGAACTTTTAACTTTTTATTTAATTTCTATGAATTTATAGGAAAATGATTTTGATGCATTCATTAAAAAAAGAGGCGGATCAGACAATGCCTCGACTGAATGTGAATTAACAACATTCTATTTTGAAATACAAGAAAAATATCTTTTGTCAGCACTTGATCGTTTTGCTCAATTTTTTATAAAACCTTTAATGAAGAAAGATGCCATAACAAGAGAACGTGAAGCTGTAGAAAGTGGTACATATTGGAATTTTTAACATAATGAAATTTAATTAATTTAATTTATAATAATATTAAATAATCCATATAGAGTTTCAGATGGCTTTACCTTCTGATTTTTGTAGAAAAGAGCAATTATTTAGTAGTTTTGCACGATCAAATCATCCTGCAACAAAATTTTGTTGGGGTAATTTAGTTACTTTACGAGATAATGTAACAGATAAAAAGCTTTATGAGGAATTACATAAGTTTAAAGAGCGTCACTACAGTGCTCATAGGATGAAACTTGCTATACAAGTTAGCTTTGCAACATACAATATCAAAATTTATTTTTTAATCTAAATAATATTGATTCAAGAATTTTATTTACAGGCAAGACTTCCATTGGATGTATTAGAAGATTATGTAACGCAATGTTTTGCAAATGTACCAAATAATGGTTTACCAGCTGATGATTTTACTTTATTCAAGGGTTCAAATTCATTTGATACACCAAGTTTTAGAAAAATTTATAAAATCAAGCCTATAAAAGATATTTGCCAAGTGTGTCATAGTATTTTTTTTAATTTAATTATTTAAAAATAATGATAATAAGAAATTAATTTTGTCTTAATCTCTAGGTAGAGTTAACATGGTCTATGCCACCTCTTCATGATTTATACAAAAGCAAACCGCATCAATATGTTTCTTGGATTATAGGATATGAAGGAAAAGGTTCTTTAATTAGCTACTTAAGAAGAAAAATGTGGTGCCTTGGTATTTTCAGCGGAAATGAAGAAAGCGGCTTTGAACATAGTTCAATGTATGCATTGTTTAATTTATCTTTAATGTTGACTGAACAGGGACACAAACATCTGCCAGAAGTATTAAATGCTATATTTTCATTCATCAATTTAATGCGCAAAGAAGGTCCGCAGAAAAGAATATATGATGAGATCCATCAAATTAAAGAAACGAATTTCAGGTAAATTAATGATTAATTTTATAATATAATAATTTAAATGATTTATGCAAAGAAAAAAACTTTCTTATAGATTTACAGATGAATCGCCACCAGCAGAATACGTAGAAGATTTATGTGAAAGCATGCACTATTATCCTCCTCGTGATTATATTACTGGAAGTGAATTATATTTTGAATATAATCCAGAAGCTATACAAATCTGTTTAAATTATTTAACACCTGATGATGTAAACATTATAATTTTCGATAAAAAATTTAATGATGAAGATTTTGATAAAGTGGAACCTTGGTTTAAAACTAAATATACCGATATGGAGATTCCTCAAGAATGGATTGAATGTTGGAGAACTATTGAACCTTTTTCTGAATTCCATTTACCATTACCCAATATGTTCATCACAGATGATTTCAGTTTAATTCCATTGCCAGCCAACATTTCTAAATATCCTACAAAAATTTATACAGATGAGATAACGGAAGTTTGGTATCGACCCGATCCTAAATTTGGTTTACCTGAATGTTATATGTATTTTTATATCATATCGCCAATGGCTGTTTGTTCACTAAAAGGGTAAATTAATTTGAAATATTTATGAATAAATATACATTTTTTTTACAATGAATAATTATAGTTTTTTTTTTAAATTTTAGTGCAGTTCTAATGGATTTGTTTATTGCTATACTAAAGCAATTGTTAGTGGAATCATTGTATCCAGCCACGGTTGCTGAACTAAATCACGATATTCATGCAAATGATAAGGGTATTATGCTTAAAGTGAATGGATTCAATCAAAAATTACCAGTAAAAATATTTATATTTTTTTCTTCAAATAAATTTTCTTTTAACTTTTATATAATGTTTTCCTTTTTATTTATAGCTTTTATTAATGACTATAGCAAAGTGTATAGCTGATATTCCAACGTTAATAACTGAAGAATTTTTCGAAGTTATGAAACAAGAAGAAATTAAGGCATATTATAATAATTTTGTAAAACCTAAAAAATTAGTTCGGTAAATGATGTTTTTTAGAAAATTAAAAATAATAAATTTATGATATTTTATATTTCTTAAAATTATTCTAGGGATGTAAGATTATCAATTCTAATGTTTGTTCATTGGATGGCCACAGACAAACATGCTGCAATTCATAATGTGCAATTTCCTGAATTCCAGAATTTTGTTAGTCATTTTACTGATCATGTTTATATTCAATCTTTAGTACAAGGGAATATGACAAAGGAAGATGTAATAAAAAATGTTCAGGAATGTGTAAAGACTCTTAAATGTGGACCATTATTGCCTAACACGATGCAACAAATGAGAGTAATGCAAATACCAATTGGTTCGCATTATTGTAAAGTAAAAAATTTTAATAGCACAGATGTAAACTCTGTTGTAATGAATTATTATCAATCTGGTGTTTCATCTATCAAATTGTTAGTTATTATTGAATTGTTAATAGTAAGTATATGTTCAAATTTTATTATTTTAAATTTATTATATAATAATAAATACTTATATTACATCTTACAGATGTACATGGAAGAGCCACTTTTTAATCAATTAAGAACACAAGAGCAACTTGGTTATAACGTTTTCTGTTTATTAAGAGACACCTTCGGTATTCTTGGTTATTCTATCACGGTATATACTCAAGCAGATAAATACAGTACAGAACATGTGGATAATAGGATAGAAGCTTTTTTGACAATGTTCAATAATATGCTACAAGGGATTTTGGAGAAAGATCTAGATAGTATTAAAGAAGCAGTAATAAAATTGAAACAATGCGCTGATATACATTTAAAAGAAGAAGTTGATAGAAATTGGTCAGAAATTATAACTGGAGATTATATGTTTGATAGAATAGAAAATGAATTGAGCATGATAGAGCATATTACAATCGATGAGTTGAGAGAATGGATGCAATCTCATACGATTAATGGGAACAATTTTAGAAAATTAAGCGTACACGTAGTTGGCAGCACTAAATCAACTGATGTGGAGAATAATGAAGGTATTGAATCATACAAAAATAGAATTATAAATATATTAATTTTATCGTAAATTATTAAGAAAAATATTATAATATTAATTTTTTTATAGCTAACTCAAAAATAGAAAATGTTGGGAATGTAAAGTATTCATTGGATTACATTCCTGTTACTGAAGGAACTGACAAATCATCGATATATATTACTGATATTCAGGAATACAAAAACCAATTGTACACCTATCCTGTAAAGCATACTACTTTATGATATCAAATTCTTCTAATGAAAATTAATAGTATTTGAAAAACTCTGAGAAATAATAAAGTGAAATGATGATATATGAAATATTATATTGTTAATTATTCCTTTGTTATTGCGTTGTTAATTATTTTCATTTGGTTTAATTAACTAATTCTTAAACTAATTTCTTTTAGAAAAATTCTAAAAATGATTAAATTGTAATCTTAATTCTTTTTATAATTTATATTTCTATAAATTAAAAATATTAATTTGAAAACTAAATATAAAATTAAATTAAAAATAGCATATAATGGCTACATTAAAAAAAATGAACTTTTTTTTTCTTTTTATAATTCTTTTAATTGTATTCAAGACATGATAACACCTTTTAATAAATCATTGAACTTCCGAAAATGTCAGCCAACCATCTCCGAGAACCTCTCACACGAACAGCTTTCTTTACAAAACTTCACTGAAAGTTTGTTTCCTTTATTTCAAACTGTGCAGTGTATTCTGCAAAGTTTTCATTTTTTTCTCTTTAACTTAACAGAGAATCTGTATGAACCATTATCATTTTCTCTAATTTGCATGTGTGTCGTGTAATTGTATTTATACAAGAAAAAATGAAGATAAATACATATATTTTTTTCTTCAAAAGAAACAAACTTAAAATATCTGTCATTGGAGAAACTTCTCTGCTCATTGGGATAAAGAAAAGAGATTGCTCTTTGATTCCCAATATATAATTATTATTTATTAAGTGATTTTTTTATTTAAAAAAAAAAATATTCTTTATTTAATTGGCAGAGTAGTATATTCCAAAAAACAGATTTACAGCAAAATGTTGATGCAATTTGAATATTCTAAACTGTTATAACATCCATTAAAGTGCATTTTGCATTTAATATTTCGAATAATTGTTGAATATATTGATTTTTTTTGTTGTAGTATTATAGAGTTGCCACTACATTTATACAATGATTATCTCCTACTTTCCAAATATGTATCCATTTTAAAAGTACCTTAAATGACTTTTTAAATTTATAATAATTTTTGTTTGCCTTGTGTTTTCGCCAGCACTGATTCCGTTTATTATTATTATTTTTTTTATGATTTGTCTTTAATTTTTCGCATGCCTGTTTTTAAATTAGTCAACAATATGAAATTTTAACTTGCTCCATTCTTTTAAAATACATGAATAAATAATATTCATTCAATTTCCACACTATGCTTTTCTTTCTTGTTTAAAAACATATTCCCTCCAGTTTTTCAACTAGCAAAAGCATAGAATCAGCTCTGCTTGACACTAGACATGAATGGGGTATATGTTACAACAATAAGTTACAAGATAGAATAATCCAACAAGAATACATTGATGTGATTGTGTATTATAGAGAAATACAACTACATGAGTCGGTCAAGCAACATTTTCTAACTGTCCAAACACATTTACAAATTATTAACTAATTCTATTAGTTTATTAGATATTGTTTTTGAGTACAAAAATCTTGCACATCATTTTGTTTCAATTTCAATATCAAAATTATACAAATAACATTCGTTTTATTTATATAGATATAACATTAAATTATTATATATTATTTCTAATATTGTTATGTCAACAAATAATAATTTGAAAAAAATTAGAAATATGTTATATTTTTTAATGATTTTCTTAATTAATCATTTTAAAAAATATAATAATCACTTACCGACTCATATAAGTTGAAAATAACGCGACCATTGACAAAAATTATAGCGCATGTACAATTTTTATTTGCCTTTTTTTTTTTTTTTTTTTTCATATTTTTGTCATATATTTGTCCATATACGAAGTGATCTTGAAGGCATTTTATGTTTGTAAAAAACTGTTCTTATTTCATGCGCTATATACTTAATCAATTATTTGGTCTTCTTACATATTAGAAAAACAAAAAGAAAAAAACAGAAAAAAATAAACGTACAATGATTATAAATTGTAACATACAATGGTTACCCTCTGTGTATGCACTTGATATTTTTAATTATCTTTTTTTTCATTGTTCTTGTTGTTTTCTTTAGCTATGAAAAATAATAGCAGAATATACATTACATAATATTTAATAAGAATATATAAGAACGGGGCCCACATATATTTGCAGCTACATTGATAATTGTTTAATTCATTACTTCTTTTTTTGGTTTTTTACTATATTAATACTTTTTTTATTTACTGTTTTTGCTACCATATTTTTAATATATCTTGTTAATAGAATATGTAAGCGAAAAACTATAGTAAAAAGAGAAACTTAAAATTTATATATTGAGCACGATTATAGCAACTCAATATTATCTTTACTTTTCCCTTTTCTGATATTCTATCGAGGGCATTATATATTGTTCTTTATTTTTTCATTGTGTTGCTATTGAAAATCCTGACAATCTACTAGCATATAAGTATAGCATATCTTATAAAAAGAGAAATTGGAAGTAAACATTAAACGTTTTTTTCTTTTTTAATGCCCATTGGTTGCGTGCTTCTATTGAAAATACGGTGAAATAATAATATAAACACATTGTTCATTGATTTTTTTGTGGCAATCATTTAAGACAAATCATTGAAATTAAATGATGCGCTCCATTTTTATATGTTATATTTTCCCCTATGTACATATACATATATATGTGTGATTTTCGCAAAAAGACATAAGATTCTACTACAATGTGATTACAAATCAAATTAAGAACAAAGAAATAATAATAATGAAAAGCGAATGATATTGAAAAAAATTTAATAATAAAAATAAACAAATAGCAAAACAGCAAAAATGTTTCATGATTTTTCATAGTAGAGAACATGATGAATCATGTCTATTTTTAATGCTTAGCTATTTGCTGCATTGACAAGTAATTAAAATTTGTTAAACAAAAATATAGCAATGAAATTAATTGGAGAAGAGAGAGAGAGAGAGAGAGAGAGAGAGAGAGAGAGAGAGAGAGAGAGAGAGAGAGAGAGAGAGAGAGAGAGAGAGAGAGAGAGAGAGAGAGAGTAAGAGTAGAGTA